GACACAGACAGAGACAGAGAGAGAGGGAGAGCATTTCGAGCTTCTTGCTGATAGCATGCTTGGAGGCTGTAAAGTTACATTGAGGACATGTCGCAGACGAATGCTTTGCCAGCTAGTCCTCATCCTCGCCCGAAATGGATTCCTCGTATGCAGTCGCAGGATCCTGCGCAGGGCTCAGGCTCAAGTAGCGCTAATCTCTGCACCTGCTACTTGATATTTGCTTAGCAAGACAGGGGCTTTGGAGGTTGCTTCGGCTTGAGGTGTCCCATCAAGACTGAAGGAATCTGGGGCCTCTCCACCAGAAGCCGTCTCGGACGAGCCCGTGATGGGCTCCTGGAAGGCATGAGATTCGCGGCTCTGGTGTCTACTCCTTCCGAACGCCGTAGCCTCCGGAATTGCATCGGGCACCCCAGTCTTTCCACGGCGCGAGCGTATCATCTGCAGAGTGCGGCATGTCTTCACGTACGCTGTGACCCAGGCAGCAGAAAAGGCACCAGAGCGGCGCCTTCTCGGAATCCGCCAGGGTCTTCGTCGGACGGAACTCCGCAGCCTGCTGGCGGAGCTCGGGCTGGGGAAGGAGCCACGTGGAGCCATATGCATGTGGAGCCCGCCTTTGGGTTGAGGCCTCCGGCCTTCACCACTTGCTCGGCCTGGCGACTCACCAGAGGCTCCGGCAGTTGGAGAAGCTCTGCCGGAGGAAAAGAGGCGCACCTCGTACGCCGGACCGTCCACCTGAAAGGCACGAAACAGTGTTTTTAGAAAAAGCCGCAGAGTCGCTCAGGAACGGCGCTCGCCGAGTGCCTCGAGCTCGAGTGTCAGTCCCGGCGGCGGGCCGATGGCCTGGAGCTCCGACAGCGCCTGCCCGCCATGCGGCGCCATCGGCAGGGGAAGGTACACTGCACGTCGTGGAACGTCTTCAAGAAAACCTGGCTGGTGCCAGCCTCCGAGTTAAGCTCATCGAGTCCTTCGAGTCCTGCCCGCTTGGCTTCGCGCATGCAGCCACTTCGAGCCCTTGTGTAGAGGCAAGGGAAGAATTCGGGCCTGTCAGAGTCGATTCCGTGAAGTCGTCCGGCAGCACGAAATCTGTGCCACTTTGGCCTTCTCACTGGTTCCAGCTCTCTCTGCACTCAAACTCAAGGGGCAGCCGTACATTGTCATGTTGCCGATGTGCCTTCTTCAAAATAGGTCATGAAGGCTGCCATGTCATTGCAAGCCTATCGGTGGTGTGGAGACAATCGAGGCAGACGCGTCTCCTAGGTCAGTAGGCCTCATCGTAGGCCATGTACCTGGGATTGTGTCGGTCTGTCCCCTTTGTTGGACTCGATGTGGCATCTTCTTGGGAACATAACCCGGCAGCGTCGACCCAGCCCAATCAGCTTAGGAGGGAGCTCTGCCATCTCGCAAAGGTCAAGCCCATACAACGGATTGAATTCTTCTGCCTGTTCACGCCCATACATGCTGACGTTTGCAGCAAGCCTTTAGTTTTCTTTTGAGTGCCTGAGGGTCCAGTCCGATTTCCTCCGCTGCCTGCTCCTTAGCAGACCTGGGCACCGGCTGTTCGAAGGCGGGGGATTGCAAAGCCGAGGCCGAAAGCACTGGCTGCAATTAAGGGCTCTACCCAGCAAAGACAACAACTTCTTCCCCTGGAAGGCCATTCACCTGATACCGCTCCAAGATGCTACGAATCACACGCGACGAAGCATGCAGCCTGGCCTTCAACAGGCCTGTACGATGACGTAACCACATGGCAAAGCTGGTTCCATCCTGCTTGTTTCACGAAGAGAACATGTCAAGCTTCCAAGTTGTGGAGTTCTAAGACTCTAAGATACTAAGCACATGCCTGCATGAACTGCTTGAGCTCTGCAGGTGCCTGTTTCGTTGCAATGAAGTTCGTGAAAGGACAAAGCAGGTCACCCGGCGTACGCCTCTTGGCGCAACACTTCCAATGACACATGTCGCCCAGGCCTTGCACGAACATTAATATCTTTATGCACGGTGAGATGCGGTGAGCAATTGCCCACTACTCACTGCTGAGACGGCCAAGGGAGCGTCGCTCGTCTCACTCGCGTGAGCAAGCTCGAAGGATCATTGTTCTTGCCTCGGCTTCGGGTCGGCTTCTCTTGTCTCAGGTGCAGCGCACATGAGGGCGGCACCCCAGCCACAAGAAGACTTTGCGGGCACGTCAGTTGCCGGATTCGTCATGGCCATCATGGCTGTCACTGCCTCCGTCGCATCTGCAATGTCCTGGTTGCAAGCAGTGCTACAGCTTTGCACTTCAGTGCAAATACAGGCTTGGAAGAGATCCTGCTCCAGCTTGGCAAAGATCATCCCCTGCATTGCAGCCTCCTCCTCCGGCGTCGGCGCCGGCAATGCTGCCGTCGGCGGCCTCGCTTCACAGGAGCCTTTCGGGCCTGTGACTTCGAGGCAACAGCATGGAGGAAACTAGGCTGCGAGGCAGCATTTGGAAGGCAGACAAGGAGGTGGGCTGCTTCTTCGTGGCCGTATCAAAGGCAAGTCCTGCGAGATGCGGCGAAAGACCCTGGCAGACCTCTCAGTCCTCCTAGGGGTCAGCAAGGCGGGCCTGGAGGGAGATCTGCCATCACTGTCGCTCAGTGCCTCACCCGCGTGCACTGGCTGCCCTTCGAACGTGTTGGGGTTCTACAGGCTTCCCAGCCTCGCTAGTTCGGCCACTCTCTGGTGCCGAGAGGGACGTCAAGGAGTTCCTAGGCCTGGCCTATCCCGCCTCAGTCCCATGCACTGCCCGAGCAGTCTAAAAAAACGTCTGCGGCGCATCAAAACTGCCATCCGGATCAAGATTCGGAAGGCTTGCCAATGGCAAAGGGCCCAAAACGAGCATTCAGCCAAGAGTACTGCCTAGGGTGCATGGAGCAAAAGATTCGATGGGCGAGAGCCTGGACCTGAATCGGCTTGAGCTGGAGGCCGCATCTGGCTCGGAACAAGCCAGGCTTAACATCAGCCAGAGCCCTTGCTCCAAGAAGATCCGACCTCGCTGGCTGGCGACTGGTCTTCAGGCGCACCACGATCACGATCCTCCGCCCAAGGATCGCCAGAGTCGGCTCCCGCTGCGTTCTGCTGCTCCTCCACGCGCTGAGAGGATCTGGACGGACTTCTTGACTTGGCATCGGAGCTTCGTGCAGACTCCTGCAGACAGTGGCGATTTCCTCGTCTGAAGAGCGACATGTCTGAGAACCGAGCTTGCCAATCTAGCTCTGGAGCACCTTGAGCTGAAGCAGGCTCAGCTTAGAAAGGCTCTTGGAGGCTTGAGGCCAGTGCTCGGCATCGAATATCCAGCGACCTGGAGGTTCGAACAAAAGCCACGCCCGGCTCCAGCTGCCTCGCACCCCATCCCATCTGCTTTGGTCCCGGACTGGGCTGGGTTCTCGGAGGCCCTCGGACGGTCCTCTTGAGCGGCTCTGTTTCAAGAGCACGGTGCACAGCAGCATCGCATGCTGGTACCTGTTGGCTCCATGACCGCCGCAGCTTGGAGCATGACCTACGAAGGTGCGAATTTGCGAAACTTGATCTTGAAGAAGTTTTACCCCGCGCCTCAGCGAGCTCACTCGCAGTTTCACCGTCAAAGCCATCCTCGCCCAGATGCAATGGCACAGGCACTTCAAGTGTATGGCAGCGGCTGGAACACTGCTGGCACTCAGGCGTCGGCAGCAAGAGATGGAAGCCGGCCGCAGCTGCGACGTTTGAGGCAGAAGTAATGCATACACCTCACCAGCTAGGAACATCAGCACTCTTCTCGACTCCTTTTCTGACAAGCCTTCTCCCAATCCAGCACCATGATTCAAAGTGCATCGATTTCAATCTTTGCAGATCAATTCTCTGAAAATGCACTGCAATCGCGTGACTGACTTTACAATACTTCCCCTTCCAGTCCGTCTGATAGCCTGATAGGTGCGAACTGTAAATGCACAGTACAGGTGTACACCGTTGCATCGAGACCTCCCGTGACCTTGCGTGTCACGTGCTTCGTTTCGGTATCTCTTGAGCTTCGTGTGCTTGTTGAAGCCAAAACGCTGAGCGTTCCGCATTCCTCTCAATTCGACAGCATCCCATGGCACGTGTCTGGATTTGGACGGCACCACCACTTTTTCGATTGCGCCAGCTTGGTAATGACGAAGTCCCAGACATCCTGCCAAGTATCACAAACGCTGGGCGGATCATGAACATCAATGGTCAACTAGCTCCTGTCCGACCGGCATTCGTCGGCAGAGTCTATGCTCTTGGAAGCAACACCGGCTCCTGAGGCCAACTGCTGAGGACTTCCACATCACGTTGAAATGTCAAACGAGCAAGTAGTCAGGACTGCACATCAGAGGGACAGGGACCGCGGGCTATAGAAAGTCAACACCAGACCCTGCCAAAAAGCAACTTTCGCTCTTCAGAGGCATTCCACGGATGACGTCAAATCACAGCAGTTGTTGTGGTTGTTAATGGAGGCATTCAGCAATAGCTGCCCACACTCTTCCTGTCCCACGCCCCCACTTCACTACCGCCCTCCAGGCAGGGTTCAGATCGGATAATGGAAAAGCAGCGAGTAGGAGGGGCAGATAAATAGTGAAGGAGTGCCAGAACGGCCGCAGAACGGGGAAGAAGTGTAGGAGGGCAGGCAGAACTGGAGGTGAGGCAGGGGGCTGTACTAAGAGCCATAAGAGCAACAACCAGACAAGCCAAAAAGCAAGGGTCGTTGTAGCGACATCCGGCGCAGGCATGTGCAAGCATGATGGACTATGGAGGCCGTAGCATGTTGTGGCTGGAGAAAGGGCGGCCTGCAGCAGGCGGTAAAGGCAATTCGGCTAGAACTTCAATGAACCCAACAGCACCTTTCGGCAGGAGGGAAGAGCTCCAGCTGGGACTTGGAGCCCAGATGGTCGCGTGCAACGAGGTCTGAGGGAGATGAGAGTGGTCGGCATAACGCGGAAGAGAGAGAGAGAGAGAGAAAGAGAGAGAGAAAGAGAGAGAGAGAGAGAGAGCCAGCTGCGAGAGATTTGGGGGAGACAAAGCGGAAGAGAGCGTGCAACTCAGCTACTCGATGGGTAGAGGCACCCCTAGCATCAGCAGCCGGAGCCAACATGTTCTCTGTCCTTGGCAAGTTCTCACGGTGCCGATCCAAACATGGCCGAAACATCACACCATCTTGCTCCAAGCATGGTCCACATCACACCATCAGCCATATTGCAGTGGACTTCGAAGAGCCTGTTCGTCGAAGGGATCTGCTTTTGTTAGAGGAACACTCAGCGGTTGGAGTGAAGAAAGCTCACCGCGGCCATGGCTTCGCCCTCCGTCCTTCAGGTCGTCCGGCCTCGGAAGTTCTCCGACAGGCTGGTCCTCGCACGCGCACCGAGCACAAGCCCTCAAAAGCACAAACAGCCGAGGAGGAGGCCCATGGCCGTTGTCTCAGCACGCCTTCCTTGGTCGCACAGCTGAGAAGAGGGAACAGTTTCAAGACCCTCAGGTGCAGTTGTACTTGTTGGCCGCTGCTAGTGCCAGTGCCCGATCTCTGGACATCAGCAAAACTGTGACGGCCATTCCACGATCTTTGGCCAGCCTTTCCCCGGAGGTCGTCTTCTACCGCCGGGGCAAAAAGAAGGCCACAACAGCTCGAAAGCATGGATGCTAAATCTAGTCCAAGTTTTGTCACAGCAGAATTAGACAGACGCAAAAGCAGAGTCACGCCTCAGTACACAGTGAGAAGCAGTTTGAGCTGAACAGAACCCTCCCATGGAATCTCTGCAGTTTGGGCTGGGTCCGCCGTGATTACTTGCAGCTGCGACGCCATCAACCGTAGGCCGCCCTCGCGCACCGAGTCCCTGCCAAGAGGTGGGAGCTGGAAGCCTACGGTAAGCTTTCTAACTTCTAACAGACCAGCCACCCAGCCCATGCACGCTCTCGAATCAGCAGAAAGCTGCCAAGTGACTTCCGGCCCTTCAAGACAACACGCTGCCATTTGCGTCCGTGCACTTCAGAGACCTTGACTTGGCACAGAGGCAGGCAGCACGGCTTAGAAGGGACGGCGACACGGTGACAGCCAGAATTTGTTAATGTCAGGATGAGGCTTCGCCCACGATGTAGGCACGATAGTCCTGGCAACCGTTGAGAACATTGCACTTCCCGGAAGGAGTGACATGCGCTGGCCTCGCTCTCGCCTGCCTGGAGCCATCCAGCTCCCTGCAAATACTCAAGGCGATCTGCGGGAACCTCGAGACACTGTGAAGCAACCACATTCTCAATCTTCTTCAACTGTTCTGGCCTCAAAGGACTGCTCGTCGTATTCACCCTCTGGCATTAAGCCACCTTCTGCTGTGACGGGCATCCAGCTAAAGATGCCTCATTCGACGGACGTTGCATGTACTTCCAGCAGAGCGCCACTGTCCAAGCACCTCCGCCATGCTCGTCCTCGATGAACTCAGGCGCGTCGAAGGGATCATACCTTACGGTCGATGGTCGTTTGCTCGCTCCGGAACTGTCAGTCTATGAGCTGCAGGTCTTAGATCATTAGAGAGGCAAGAGCCTCAGCTTCGAGGCCACGCTCAAGCAGGTCACTGGGGTCGGTACTCGAGTCCTGTGGTGCTGCCTTTGGTCACCAGTCGCCCGATGGGCCTGCAGCATCGTAACTTCGCGAGGATCATTCTCCATCTATGAATGCCAGTCCGAGCGCCCTGCATGGCAGGTATCAGCGCATCCCCAGATTCCTCAATGCTGGACTCCTCAAGCCCAGTCTGAAGCACACGAACAACCAAGGATGCCGTCGCGGTGTCCTCAAGCTGATTCCGTCGAAGAACAACATTCCGACGTCGTGGATGGGAGCGTGCAAAGGCCTCACTAAGAGCTCGAACCCGCAACGGTTGAATGGAGAGACCAAGCACCCGGCCGCAGCGCCAAGAGAGGAAGCCGCGAGGCAGAACAGGTGGCGATGGGGCAGGAGAACCTGGAAACAAAAACCATGTGACGAAAACGTACTGAAAGATGCAGCATGCAGCATCTTCGGAAGAACGGCCGTTGAGCTGGCCTGGGGGCTCGCTGGAAGCGAAGTGTGCGAAGCGTTCGAAGCGCACTGCACTGCCTCGGTAGGCGAAAGCTTTGGAAGGCCTCTGAGTTTTGAACTGAAGACAGAAGGTGCCTCGGAGCTCTGGGTCCGCAGCCGTAGGCTGGCACTGAGTGCGCACGCTTGGTAGAGCTACGAGTGCCATGGCGTGATGAAGATTTCCGTATTTCGGCTTGTTCAGATTCACTTTACGAGCGTTCTACGTCTGGCGTGACGAAGTTCTCTGATCAATGCTGCCATCTGCTGCTGCGTACGCTTCCGTGTCCTCGTGTTCATCTAGCATCTTCTTTGAATCAGCCCAGTAGTTGGAAGACAATTTCTGGTAATTATGAGGCAGTCGCACATGTTGCTAATGCAGTCCGATTAGCAGATGTTCTTTCCTTACCCCGTTTTGCCGTGGCAATCACATTGCTCTTGTGGAGCTATGGCAGGGGTGAGACGCACAGCTGATCAATTCACAACCTTCGAAGATGGTGATGCTCAGCAGCGGATCATTAACGTCATGGTCATAAGCCTGCAAAGCAAGGGGAGGGACTGGGACAAAAGGTGACATAGGACATGGCTCTTGTTGCGGGCTTGCCCTTCAAACAAGAACCTACCGACGGAGTGCTTCGGTTCATCTCTCGATAGACACGAGCGCCGAGCATGTGCAAGGGAAGGGGTGGGGACATGCAGGCTTTAGAACGAACTTTTGTTTATAGTGCTAGTTGCTGCCCTGCATGTCGACTGGACTCTGGCAGCCATCTGGCCCTTGTCAAGACTTATCCTGCATCTGCGGGTGGGGAGGGGTGTGTGTGATCACGCCCCGAGCCCATGGTTCGATCATGGCGGCCTGTTTTTCCAGTTGAAGGGGTACTGCCAAAGAAGAAAATTAAAGAAGAAACGAGGAGCCAATGATGCTGATGATGTCGGATATGTTTCTCAGGGCTGGCATGTCACCGTAGCCCAGCCAAAGATGACTACAACTACCACTGCTGCTAACAATGTCACTGCCATGTCCACTGCGACACCACCACCACCACCTATCATTACTACTACCACCACCGCCACCACCGCTGACGACGACGACCATCGCCACTCCCGCTGCTACTGCGGCTGCTGCTACAACCACCACCATCACCACTAGCAAGAAGGACTTCTGGCGACCTTTACTTCAGACATTGACACGGTGTATCGGTCAATCTCTTCGACGGCCTAGTGGACAGGCAGCCATAAGAGAGAGCTCAAAGGATCTCCTTGCAAGGCGCCCATCTTCGTCGCCTGCCATGCTCGGCAAACTCTGCGGAGGTTTCCGTGTGCGCACCAAGCCTCGATCACTTGCTTCTGGATGGCCGCCAGTGCCCCTGTAGCCACCTCTGCGCTTCCAACGCATGGACACCCCTAAAACCGTCATGGCCAGCTGGCACAGGGAGAGCCACCAGCTCACTCTGTGTCGAGAACATGCCGTCCTGTAGACTCTACGACACTACGTCACCACGTTCTCCGGGCTGATGCGAGAGAGGCTCACTGGCAGTCCTGAGGCCCAAGAGAAGTGCACGCCAACAGCGGCGTGCCAACCTTTCGACGAAGGGGAGAAAATGAGGCTTCTGCCGAAGGAGCGCTTGCAAGTTGGCCTCCGCCTCCTTCTTGGCAACACCCAGGGCGATCGGCGAAGCAACATTCTCGGCAGCCTTGCGGCAAGATCTGAACTGCAAAATAACCGTTCAGATGCGAGGAGAGACAAGGAACAAGACACAAACCTCAATGTTTGCAACGGCTATAGAAGCCATCTCCTGGAACACTTGCAAATCGGATCAATGAACCATGACTTGGAACATTTGCACTGTGCAGATGTCCTCCCCGTGAAAAATCATCTGGGCCAGAGGCACGCCCTGCGAGTGGAGCAAGAACACTTGGCTGGGGAACTTCCCTCCCACAAATAGCCTCCACAGATGCTGCATCGCCGATTGCAAAGATTTGTCCTTGACCAAGCGGCTGCAGAACCACGCCTGCTGGGCAAGGAGAGGCCAAGTCTTGGAAGGCTAACCGGCTGTCTGATCTGAAGCGAAGCTCGACTTCGTCTGCTGAAGAAACATGATTGATTGACAACTGACAAGAGTGGCGAGTGACGTCACAGGCGTGAAGCGAGGATCCAAGACGCCCGCCATGAGTCAGTTCTTCGACGCTGCTCAGACCCATGTGGCTGCTGCTGAGAACCTGCATTGCCGGGCAGATCAGAAGTCAACATCATCACCAAACAGAGCCACATTCTGCATCACGCTGGCGGCCTGGCCTGCATCCGCTTGTTGACACGGATCTGGCCATTGCTGCGCAGCACCTTGAACTAGAGGCGGCCGCATACGACAGATCGGCTCGAATCATTCTAAGCAATGACCTTTCTCGCTGGATTGCGGCCCTTCCGAAAGGACAGACCTTGCCTCCTACAAGTAGTCGAAATCTGTCCCGATGAAGGCTGTTCCCGGCCCGTGTTCCTCTCTCACGAAGGGACTCCAAGGCTCTGAGGTCTGAGGAAAGAACCGATCGGTCCACGAAGAGCTCTGAAGCTCGCGGCTTCGTACCAACACACCAGAGCACTACCTCGCCTCCGGATACACTCAGCGAGGCTCAAGAAAGCAGCGTAACAGGCGTCACAGCGCCTTCCGAAACCAACTCGGGCACGAAGGGCTGGCCAAGGCGAAGTTTCACGCCCTAGCGCGAGGGAGGAGAGGCCACAGAAAGCCAAAGCCGCCCTCGGATTCCCACCGCTAAGGCAGGCACAGTCTTCGCGAAGAACTCCATGGTGTAGTCCCGTGCCGGATCTGCCAGCTGCGGCAAGACGTGGGCTGCACCTGTTCGGTGATCTGGGCAGAGCCTTGACTGCAGATCTGAACAGATGCTGTGTGTCCCGGCCATCCACCAACGTCACCTGACCATGGATCGGCATTGATGTGCTTTGCCACTGAGAAGCAGAGCTGCTTTACACGTTTGCACCAAATGGGCCTTGAGTCGCGGGAAAAAATGAGCTAGCTCTGCAGCGAGCTCGACACCTTGTCTTGCAAAGCTCCCCGAAGCCGAGGTGCACACTGCCTTCGCACCTACCAATCCAGCTCCGACCACCACCGCGCCAGGCGCATTTGCCAGCTTTTCGTGCAAGAGCTGCAGATTTCGCCGGCGGCCCTGGGAGAGAAGCCATTCGCTCTGAATCCTTTCTCCTTATGCATTGGGCCTACAGTATCTGCCCGGGGCCCAAGACCCCGACGTCCAAGCGCCTCTCGTCCAAAGCCGAACCACCAGATGGCACAGGCACGGCGGACTGTGCCGGCTTCTGGTTTGTCGGCCTTCCGTGCAGCACTTTCATGTGCACAAGGCCCTGGCTTACCGCCTGGCCTTGCGGTAGAAGAAGAAGAAGACACCGCTGTGGGCTGCAACAGAAAGCCAACGCAAACAAGCATAGCTACACGTCTCTGGTGTGAAGTCACAGGCGCTGACCCCAGACAGATCTTCCAGTGAACGAGGTTTCCACAGTCCATTGGCGACGCCAACAGCAACCACGCAATAATCGAAGCTCATCCTGTCATCCGTGCTTCCCGTTTCAGGGAAGTTACGCTACTCTGAAAGATCTCGGCTTGAAGCGAATGACATGCCTGAGACCGTGTACGGTCCGTCTCTATTCACGTTTCAATCTCGAAGCACCTTGTCTCCTCTCGTACGCTGCCGACGGTCGGTTCCTGAACAAACTTATGACTAAAACGTGAGCAGAAAATCATGATTCTGAGGCTGCTGCCACAGTCAGGCTGCCGCGACCTTTTAGATTCGGCATTCACCGGCACTCGCCGCAACCGCCAACTCAGGCTGAAGCCATTCGTTGCGATGGTACCGCTGCCGCTGGCTGACCCGCCTGATCGTTCGGAGGCTATGTGGCTTAGTCCCCGGTAGTGGTAGCAGCCGCTACACTCTTACTGCGGCTACGACTAGCCAGGCCTGAGCCGGCAAACCTCGAGGGCGCGTCGATCTTCGTCGCCTCTTTGGGGACACAGCGCAAGCGAAAGCGCGTGCAGGGGCCGGCCACCACAGCCACCACAGCCTGGCCCAACACGAACTCGACCCCGAGCTGTCCCTCGAGGACCTCGCAGAGGCTGCAGAGTGTAGGCAGTGTAGGCCAGTGTAGGCCGAAGCCGGTGTGCAGCGAAGTGGAGAGGGCACCTCTCGGTAGTCGAAGGTGATCCTGGCAGGTGCCACATGGCCAGATGCATGCCTTGGCAGGCTTGGCTTGACGCATCCAAACGAAAGCTGACACGTCCTGGACAGGTGCGGGGGGTCGGCGAGGGCACGCAAGATACTAGGTGTGAACTCGAAAAACTCTTTGGAGTCCACCACCGTCACCTTCGCCAGAGGTGCCAACATGCAGTGAGATGGGGTCGTCTTGGGCAGCTTGCCTGGAAGTGATGCCTCAAGCGGTCTGCGCAGAAGAGGCCCGTTGGGCCACCTCCAACAATCACAACCCGCTTTGGAGCTCGTGGAAGCAAGTGCCTCAAGACACAGGGAAAGCCATGGAAAGGCACATGAAGAAAAGGATCGCATGTCGCACCAAGGCCTCACACCAGCCGGAACCAGCGACCGAGCGAAGTGGTGCATTGCGTCTCATCACTTGCTCACTCTTGCTCGGGATTCCGCATGCTTCGACTGTCAGGTACCAGATCCCGAATCTCTACACTGAGGGATGCCGAGCATGAGCTCTTTGCTAGCCATGGTCAGAAACACTGGTCCTTCGAGACTTGACATGATCTTGACTGGAAGAGGAAGAAGTGCTTTGTGCATGCAGGGACATTGGCCATGCCGGGCTTGCGCTGGGGTTAGCGGCAGTCTTGACACAGAAGGGCACAGCATGACGAAGCGGCCTAGTTACCTGCCATGCAGCCACTATGACCGTGTCTTCTTTTCGATCGAATCTTGTTCGCCGCGTATTGCGGCTCCCAGTTCCAGCAAAATCTCTCCAAGAGCGGATAGCTAGCGAGATGATTTGCTAAGTTCAGAGGTCTGGACACGACAAGCTCCTTGAATTCAGAGACGCCTCAAAACAAGAGCGCCTTCCTACGCCGCGGGACCAGCACAAAAGCGCGAGTCGTTAGAATGTATGGTGACTGACTTTCGTCCATACCAGCTCTTCTTGGAGCGCAGGTGTTGGGGGAGAGGGCGCTCCAACAAACTCGCATGAGGTGCATGTTTCAAATACCCATATCGCACCTGCGCACTAAGTCTTGATGACGCTGTCAAAAGCAACATCCGTGGCTCTGCATTCACAGAGTGTCAGCACTCCTTTGGTGCCCACGGTGTGGAAAAATGGAGGTTGCGATTTGTCAGCTTCATTCCCAGACATATGCCCAACTAGACAACCTCCGGAGACTGCACACATGCATGTAATCGCAGATATGCCTGAATCCGAGAGAGTTTCACAGTCAGTAGTAGATGCGCAGGGCTTCGTAAAGTCGATTGTCGAAAACGGAGAGGGCGATGGAAAAGGCCTCTGAGGCCAACAGAAAAGCTGCACAAATCTTACAAGTTGGCTGTGAGCCTCGCGCCTGCAAGGGGCTCAACGGAAAGGCTGCATCCAGCGCGAAACTGGCGTCGTCGATGCGACCGAACTGCATTGCCAAACTCTCCTGGTGGGCTCAGCCAAGTCTCTAGCTTGGCCGTGCCAGCGCCGTTAGATGCCGCTAGATTCCAACCTATCTCCTGGCTCTTCTACAGACCGGCAAAACCTGTCTGGACTTTTAGCACCCCCCGACCCTGAATGTTCCCAAACCTGCTTTTCTACCCGGCCCAACGGGTTTTTCGCTTTTTTGAACCCTTACACCTTTCAGTGCTCCAGAGTGTCCTGCTATGTTGCAGGTTTCCGAGTTTTGAAGGCTTCAAAGGGCAAGGACTGACAGGGTGGAACAGGTTGGGCCAGTGCGGTACTAACCCTCCGGTCATATTGCTCCCCAAACACCTCTGCTTACCGCGTCCTTGCATTTTGGTCACTGCAGCCACTAGATGCAAGACCTTGCGCAAAGCCTGACTTGTTCCGACAGTGGTAAACTTGCCACAGCACAGTCTGCAATCGTTTGGGCAAACGGCTGCATAAAAATTGGATCAAAACTACTGTAAAACGCAAGAAACCCCATTCTAAGTGACCTCTCTCGAGGATCGTGCTCATTCTGGTTTCGATTTCTCTGTTCAGAAATGCGACGAACAATGGAAGTCCCGCACGCAAAAGAAGAAGAGTCTCAAGCAGGCGACACCAAAAAACAGTGGAGTGCCTTTACACATCCCAACAGACGTAACATAGAGTGCTTTGGAATTTATAGGTCGTGCATTTGGCGAGACAGTTTTTGACCAACCCGTCCGGCTGCTCAGCTTTGAAGCTGCTGTCAGCCTGGCGAACGACACACAGACATGTGCCATGTGCTGAGGGTGTGGTAGCTATGTAGCATTCATGGTTTAAGGTGCAAGATTGACACAGTTGCCTGAACAAGCTGGAAGTTCTTGGAGGACGAGGCGTGGACACGTCCGTGGAAGTTCATGCGATACACCTTTCCTTAGAAGGATGCAACATGCTGCAGGGACAGTAGCCACAGAAAGGCCACCACAGCAGGTGATTGCAGCAATTCCACTTCGCAATCTGCAGAGCAGCTCGCAGCATCCCATGTAGATGACGGACTGACCAGGTAGTTGAGCCTTACTTAGGCCAGCTCATGACGCAAACATATCCAGGGCTAGAGAAGTGAGATCTTTCACAGAATTCGAGTAGAGTTGGCAGTCATCGGTTCATGTTCTTCCGACCATCCAAGTACGTGGATTATGTGCATGAAGCTCCTCCATGCTCCTCTGGCTCTGCCGACTGACGCCTCTATGTGTAGCCGACAGATAAAGGCTTGCTGCCCATCCGTATGATGTGGGTAGTTGTCTAAATTAGGGTCCCTTTTTGGGTCCCCAATATAGTACGGCACTCTTATAAAAAGGACCCTAAAAGGGACCTAATTTAGAGAACTACCCATGTGGTCTCTTCAGCTGGGCCGTCATCCCCAGCTTGTCCCGCTTGCTTTTCCACATGCTCTACAGCTGTCGCCTCTTCCTGTTATGGTGATGTCTTGTGAAGCTAGCAGCTAGCACGTCACTGGGCGACCGTGTTCGTTCAGTCTCCTGTCATATTCACAAACGTCATCTTGCAGGTTGATGGTGCAAAATACCAGAGACAGTTCGAAAACTGCAAATTAAAAATGAACAGAACCCGAAAAATGTATCGAGCCTGACCGAACTTTGGCGTGTAGTCATCTGTCTGGCAGGTGGCCCGTTTTCACGACTGGCGCTGCCTCCTGCTGCGTTGAGCAGCATGCCCTCCTGGAACAAACGAGCCGAGACCAACAGCCTCCGGCTTCTGACCGCAGCTTCAGTGGGCAGACCTGGCCGTTCCGGGTGGAGAAGGAGGCGGCTGAAGAGCTGCTCGGCAGGACGACGTGCCTCGGCTTTTGCGGCTCATGCTCATAGCGCACCACCAACCACACAAGTTGATGCCACGTCACATGCTTCGGGGAGCATCGCTGGGCTTTCGAAAGCGCACTGCGCAGAGCTCCTCCATGACTATGAGTCAGGTCTGGCCATGAGTGCCAGACAAAACGGCACACTGTCCTCTCGCAAGGCACCGGATGCTCTCCTAAGTCAGAGGAACTGCTTGGTTTAGGGTTTAGGGTTTAGGTTATCCAGCAGGCTTGCCGGCAGGACCTAAAGTTTCCAGAAACAGGCATCTGCTTGCCAACGTCACCAAGTGAAAACTTTCCCCGCAACCGTGAGAGAGCACGTGTTTTAGAGGAACCGTATGAGGGTTGCTGATTGTTGAGCTTGAAATAGCTTGAATGTACCGCTTTGCATTGATGCCTTCCTTTTGCAGGTCTGGTCCGGAAGAGCACGGAAACGATCCTGAAAACTAAAACGCTTGTCTCGTCTTGTTTTTCCGCGCACAAACACGCTGGAAATGTCTCACTTCAACACTCCAGCTTGCATTGGAACTTGAAGGAAGCTGACTGAAAAATGGAAAAGACCGCGAAGCGGAAAGACAAAATGGGGAATCTAGCATTCGCCAAGCAGCTGCCCATGAAGGAGGTACTGGGTGCACATTGCATTTCCTGACGTGCGTTGCACCGTCCTACCTTCAATCAGGTACCCATGCCTGCCATCAGTGTAATGGCAAAGCCGCTTTGGCATGGCAACTGCGAAGCGTCCTGCCAGCCGACCGAGGAAGCAAGGCGACTCCCGATCAAAGTCCAGAGCCTCAGGTTGCAGCTTCCAGACAGGGTAGCGAGCTCGGCATCGAAATGAGCCGAGAAGCATTGGCAGAGATGACGTAGTACGGCCCGAGGGTCCGTTGCTGCTGGCGTTCCGCTGCCATCAGCATCACCTCGACATGAGTCAAAATAAGAGCATGGAAGACTTCTAGAGAGCGTCGAATCACTTCTCCCTGTATTCGCACATTCCCACAGGAATACCAAGCATGTCTATCCACATAGCTGATTCACATTGACGAACAATGCCTCGTCAGAAGCTCCTCCATCCTGTGCCAGGCGCACATACAGGCCATAGCGTGGCCTGCAATCGTGGACTCATGTCTGAAGGCGATTTTCTTGGAGATCGCACGACGCCTCTTCAGAACTCCTCCGCGAAGAACCTCTCGCACGTTTCTTGCCATGCGGCGCAAGGCAGTGCGGCAGTGCAGTCCCAACAGCGTGTGCCTCCACTCGGCCTCGCAGTGTTCCTGCACGTTCTAGGCTCAAAACCGGATCCGCAGGCCAGAACTGGCGTCCTGCACCCTGTCCCAGCACAGCTGCCGCAAAGTCATGGCGAAAGGTGAGGTGGCTCAGTGCTGCCGGAAACGACCTGATCCACCGAGCAAGTTTGAGCGAGTCTCTTGTGCTCACTAGCAGAAACAACTGACCATAGTGCCAAGTCACAAGAGATGATCGAAGAACTCTTTTCTGCGACGTGGTCGGCCCTGACAATGGTAATTAAGCTAAGCAACGACTGAGGACCTTCCGATCATCGGTAGTCATAAGTCACTGAAAATGAATCCAAGTGTATTACACACATAGTGGTTCACAGACTGCACATGGTTTGCTGCCCCCTCGCAATCGTGCATGCGTGTCTGGAAGCTCAAGTTGCAACCTTAAGTGCACTGCGCTGGCCTTACTCGATGTCTTCGAGTCTTGGGCCGATCTCTCAGCCTCAACAGGACCGCTGTCGGGATGCAAAGATCCCGTTTGCACGTGGAGACAGCGGCTGGATGAAAGAAGACCAGCAGCGCTGATATCACTGATGGGCTTGAGGGTCTCCGACTCCACCCCTTCGGATTCCGAGTCCACTTCCTGGGCCGACTCGCAGCACGGTCAGCGCAGTCTGCCGCCCAATCTCGCAAACATTGCACCATTCGGCTGCCATGTGTCCAGGACCTGCCAGCTGGGCGCATCGCCTGAATCTGTCCTGCATTGTGGCGTCGTGTCTTAGCGTCGTAACACTTAGCAGAATGCCATCTGCCGACTCTCCTGCTGAAGGGCAGCTCGTCCGAAAAGCCAGGGATCGGCTCATCCTCAGCTGGCCTTGTGCGT